ACACTTGTCACTATCCAGTAATAAATCTTGAAATTTGTTTTAGAAAATGCAATCTTATTACCCCTGTATGCCAAAATGGAAGAAGTTCATACATTCTCTTTCTTGATCCAACACCTAATATTTTGGGATCACTGGGTTTCAGAAAAAGTCTGACCCTAGAAAGAAAGGAAACCTCTGATCTGTGTCACACACCGGCCTGGGATTGCCACACATAACATCCACACTGTTGAAGGCAACACACATCATGAAATTAACATGACCTTAGGAACGTTGGGGACCTCCAGCAGAAACAGCATCACACAGTCCTGGAGAGTCTCTTCACACTAAGACAGCAAAGGGCCACTGTTTTCTCATCCTGAGTTTTATTCCATTTAGATGGTCAAACCCCATGGATGACTATGATATAATTTAGCTAATCATTGAACACATTGCAGCCTACCAGAAACATATTCTAGAAGAACATTTCATGGCAGAGGAACATAAACAATTTCAGTACCACATTACAAAGCAACATGTGCAGTAGGATCCAAGGTCTATTTTTTAAAATGTCCATTTATGCATAGGAAGAATAAATACATTAATCAATTTAGGGGGCTGGGAAGGTGGCTCAGTGGTAGAGTGCATGAGGTCCTGGGTTTGATTCCTCAGCCCCACATAAACAGAAAAGGCTGGAAGTGGCTGGGAAGGTGGCTCAGTGGTAGAGCGCTTGCCTTGCATGCTTGAGGCCCTGAGTTCGATTCCTCAGCACCACATAAGCAAAAAGAAAAAAACCAAAGTAGCGCTGTGGCTCAAGTGGTAGAGTGCTAGCCTTGAGCTGAAGAGCTGAGGGACAGCGCTCAGGCCCAGAGTTCAAGCCCCACAACCGGACCCCCCAAAAAAAAAGAAAGAAAAAAAGAAAAGGCTGGAAGTGATGCTGTGGCTCAAGTGGTAGAGTGCTGGCCTTGAGCTGAAGAGCTGATAGTGCCCAGGCCCCAAGTTCAAGCCCCATGACTGACCAAAAACAAAAATCAATTTAGGTCTGGGAGGTAGAGTTGCATCTTTTAAAGAATATGTATTTTTCCCTCTCTTTTCTTTCCCTCCCTCCCTCCCTCCCTCCCTCCCTCCCTCCCTCCCTTACTTCCTTCTTTTCTTGTCCTTCTTTTGTTTGTGCCAATACTAAGGCTTGAATTTAGGGCTTGGGAGCTGTCCCTTAGCTTCTTTGCTCTTCTAGTGCTCTACCATTGAGCCACAGCTCAACTTCCTGATTTTTTGCTGGTTAATTTCAGATAAGAGGCTCATGGACTTTTTTGCCTCTCTGGCTTCAAATCTCAATTTGAAGCTAGGATTACAGATGTGAGCCATAGGTGTCCAGAAATGTATTTTCTTGTTTTTTTCTTTTTTTTTTTTTTTTTTTTTTTTTTTGCATTTCAATAGTTTTATTGAAAGGTACTAAACACTGGTTGGACAGGTTGCATCTGCCAACTCAAAGTTAACACTTTTCTTGTTTTTTTCAAACTTTCCATATGCTAATGAACAGTCTGACTATTAAGGACTTAATCTAGGAGATGATAGTAACAGACTTTTAAATTGTTAAAGGGATTATCTACAAAATATATATTGATAATAAGTCCATGGCAATAACTTACCTGAGGCAGGTAAGTTATTAAACTTTCAGAGCTATTACCTGTTGTCCAAATCTGAGATATTCTTTTAGTTCAGCTTATAGGCTACTACGGTTTATTACTAAATGTTTGGAAAAGAAAATATTTCAGAAAGTATGAAAATAAGAGACACAAATTTTGATGTCCATAAAACAGTTTCATTGGAATACATCCCTACTAATTCTTCACATCTTGTTTTTGACTGTTCTCAAATCATAATAGTCTCTTGAAAGACTGTGACAGGGATTTATAGCCTTCAAAGACTGAAATATTAGACTGAAGATTGCCTGATCCATTTTGGGATGATTACAGTCTTTGTATTTCCCATTATCTGCCCCTAGATGGCAGAAAAGATCCTAAATTACACACACACACACACACACACACACACACACACACACACACACACACACACACACACTGCATACACACAACATACACAAAAAGATCCTAAAATGATAACACATACACACACACACACACACACACATACACACACACACACACACACACACACTACTGCCCTAAACAGAATATTTAAATTTCCAATTAAGTATCCTCTAATAGTTGGTCCTTACAATAGTACAAAACATTTGTGGTTTCACAAAACCACAAATAAAAGTCTAAAAGAAATTAAAGTCCAGAACTACTGTCTTCACTAAAACTTAGGATTTATTCTTTCCTGCATAAAATAAATATGATGCAATTTGTACCATTAGAGAGTTCTTACTTTTGATGTATCTATATATGCATTTATTCCTTCCTGCCTAATAAATAAATATTATAAAATAGGCACCATTAAAGAGATTCTCCATTTTTGCTCTATCTACATAATGTTCTATTCTCATTAGAGCGAATAAGATTTGTTGAGTTTACAAGTCAATGTTTACTTTAACTGAACTTAAATGGTATTAGAATTTGTTTGACCAACATTTGTCAGTATTATATGGACACAGCTAAAGCTTGGTATTTTTTATAATCAAATATGACAAAAAGCACATATACAAACTCTGTTGGGGTCTGCTGAAAGAAGGATGTAAACTTGAATAGCAGATAAAATAAGTAATACTGCTCATAGTCTTTTCAAATATGATTTCCTCATTTCAAAATAGGAAGACAAGACCATCCAGTGGTGACAGAGACCAGGAATCCGGAACAATGTTCATCCCTATAGCCTTTCCTGACATTTTGATTCCTTTTCTGCAACATTAAATTATGGACTCTTCCACAGACAAAAAAAAAAAAGTTAACTAGGACAATAGATAAACCTCTACTGATGACCTAGTGTAAGTAATTTTGTTGGCTTTATCTTTCTTTTATGATCTGTCATGTTTGTTGTTAAATCATTTGAAAATTACAGATATCATGAGGCTTCATGAACAAATAAGTCCCTAGAGTATCAACATTTGCCTGTCCTGCACCTAAGTAACTAGAAAAACTTGCATACTACTTCCTAAAGTCCACTGAATATTGAAATTTTCTTCATTTAACCTCTAAATATCTTTCAGGGATCTAATATAGAGGCATATTGTACATGTGTATTGGATATTGATTTCTCCTTTAAATTAGTGTAATTCTTAGCACAGTTTCGCTATATACTTTTTTGTTTTATATATGTGCTGGTTCTTTTTTTGTTTTGTTTTATTAATAGGTTTTTTTATTGTGAAAATACCGTACAGAGGTGTTACAATTACATGAGTAAGGTAATGAATACATTTCTTATCAAGCATTGTCGCATCCTCCTTTGTTTCCCCTTACTATCCGCGCCCTCCCACTGCCTCCCCTCGCCAAAGTTGTAAAGTTTGTTTTTCGACATAACGTCTTATACATCTTATTGTTGCAATGAGTCCACCTGTATCCCTATTTAAACAATTTGTTTTTTCCCTTCCCCTCCCCAAATTATATCAACATCAAATACAGTGAAAACAGGGGTTATACCATGGGGGAGGGACATACAAAGCAACAAAGAAATCATCATATAAATACGTTAGAAACAATAACCAGAAAGAAAAACCATTTGAGTCCTTATCTTTGGGTTCATTTCACCTAACATCAACTTATCTGATTATCAACATTTCTGCTTGTCTTGTATGTGCTGGTTCTTAAACAGATCACATCATTTGTCTTGTAGACACACATTCTTGTGGACCTATTTTAGTTATGTCTATCCTTTGCATGTCTTATACATTACAGGTTGAGTCAAAGGCTTGATACTATGTACCTCTGATGCTACAAAGAAGTCTGAAATATTAGGCCATCTCATTTTAGATAATGTTATTTATTTATTTAGTGCTGGTCCTAGGGCTTGGACTCAGGGCCTGGGTGCTGTCACTAGGCACTATCGCTGAGCTTTTTTGCTCAAATTTAATGCTCTACTACTTGAGGCACAGCTCCACTTTCAGTTTTTTGATGGTTAATTGGATTCAAAAGTTTCACAGATTTTCCTACCTGGCTTGGCTTCAAACCATATTCTTCAGGTCTCAGTCTCCTGAGTAGCTAGGATTATAGACATGAGCCATAGACACCCAGCTAGAAATGTTAGTGTTGATCAATTGATTAGGAGGTTGACTACTTTTGTAACTTATAATGTTTTTCTTTGCAATTAGGGAACAATCTAATGTGGTTACATTTTGATATTGGACATCAGCTTTCAACTCACTTGAAGTAAGAATATCAGGCTGTAGCCAGAATCAAATACTTCATTAAGGGGATGGACAGATAGTAATTTTCTGTTGCTACTTTCCTTTCCTGGCATTATCTTGTCTCTAACTGAGAAAGGCCTAGAATCCTTTCTGAAACTTTGAAAGTGCTGGATTCTTTCTCTCTAATTCCCATGTTCATGGTAAGAAGTTGGTGTAATAGTCGTCTTTTTATCAAGGCAAATTATTAGAGTTCCTCCTCTCCTCTCTCTCTGTTTCAATGGATTTTGGTTTTGTTTGTTTTTCTTTTTGTTTTTTTAGTACTGGGGCCTCATGCTCAGCTTATAGTATTTTTGTTTTTAAATTCTTATATTCAATTCATTATTATTTTTAATACTTATTTCATAGTGGTCTTTTTGGCCCGTGAAAGCTTTCTAGTTGAATGCTTAAGACATGCGCTTGTTATTTTTCATAAGTTCTTCTGAAAACTCTTTTGACAGCTAAGACCTTAAGGGATTAGGGTCCCAGGACACACTTTTGCTTCTACACTGTGTCACCTAAGGCCAATAAGAGTAAAGTGCTATATTGCTTTTCCATTTCACCAAATTGTGGCTTACCCCAATAACTGGCATCCAGAAGCCATCCTGAATGTTCAGAGCCTAACCAGACCCTAAAAGACTTGGTGAGGAACACCCTCAATTGCTTCAGCAATTTCTCTTACCTTGCATAGTAGTCGTTGGGGGGAACTGCTTCTTGAAAGAATTGGAACTGATATAAATAAAGCCCAATCAGGTGCCCGGCAGTGAAAATTGCCAGCAGAACGCAGAGACAGCTGAACAGCAATGGGTCAAATGTCCGGCACCAGGACCACCAGGTACACAAACCCAGGAATACAAAGAAGTAGACAGCTGATGTCAAAGATGGCAACATCATGCCTGAGGAGAAAGAAACACAATCAGGTAAAAGGGGACAGTAGTGGACCTTCATCTGTCATTCAGCAAGTGTACTGATTGGAAGTGATGCCAATTTCCTCCCTGCATTTTAAAACAATCACTCAAGTTTTCAAAATATTAATCACAGTCTATTGATATAAACAGAATACTGTTATTATGTATTGCAAAAAGTCATACAGTAAAGAGTAATTTTACATGTACACTAAAAAGTACTTGATCAAACTGAGCTGAAAATGTTAATTTTTCATACCAGTAGAATTTACATTTATATTTAAATGTTTCCCTCTTTCTTCTTCTCCCAGAATCCTTCTGAAGCATATGTAGATCCACTCCAACTTTTCCTTACACCATTTTCTTTAGACTCACTTATGTTTTTCGGTTGACTAGGATTTGCAATAATATATGCAATGGCAGCTAAAGTCTCCTGAAAACTTTGTCCTACCTGTAAGATCTCCAAAAAAGGACATGTAAGATCAGGCAACCCTTTATACATGTCTTAAAATATTTTGTGCATTTAGAAAGAACTCCTCATTAAAATGTGATAATATTACAGCTTTAACTCAGGGCCTGAGCACTGTCCCTTAGCTTTTTCACTCAGTTTCTAGCACTTGAGCCAGAGCTCTACCTTTGGTTTTTCACTAGTTGATTAGAGATATCATGAACTTTTCCCCTGGGGCTAGCTTAGATTTGAGATCCTCAGATATCAGCCTCTGAGTAACTAGGATTATAGGTGTGAATCACTGGCACTGAGCCAGTTGAGTTATTTTTGTCTTTGGATTGAAGCAGTCTTTGTGACTGAAGGAGTGCCGGTGGGCAGCAGGATGGAAGGAGGACAAAGAATGAGATAATATTATTAGGAAATAAGCAAATGGTGGCCAAAATTTAAAAGAAGTGTCCGAGGTGGAAAATTGCAATCTAACTTGGAAACATAAATAAGTTTACCCTGGATAGTTAAATTAAGCTTTCAAATAGCTGCATGTAAACAGATATGCCTTTGGAATGTGCTGGCCATGGGCATATTCAACTCACTAATTGCAAGAGATCACAATTCAAATATTTTGAGGATGAGGTAGACCTGTTATTCTATTCTAAACATAGAAAATGAAGTTACTTAGATATGGAAAAAGATTATTTGACAGAGGTTAGAAGAAACCATCCTCAAACACCAAAGCTAGAAGTGAACAGGAAAAGAACTCTCTTTATGTGTGGTTTCTATGAGTGGCCGGCTGGCTTAAAAAAAAAAAAAAAGCTACAGTATTGTTCTAGTGTCCTGGAATAGATTTGTTACTAGCTTTTCTTTTTTTAAAACCATGTCTTTCATTGTTCCTCACAGATCAACCTGTTCTCAGTGCAGCCTTAGTATAGAACACACTCACCGGAGGAGCCCAGTAAGATGGTCACTACAACTTTGCCTGCTGTGGTTATCATGTTGCCAATAAATTCCTTAAGTTTGGAAGCAACTGAGGCCAGCCTGCGGAACATTTTTAACTTTGCACTTTCTTCCATCTCTCCTTCCACACCTTCTCCTTCATCTAAATCCTCCTCATAGATTAGTGCCTCTTCTGAGTCCATTTTTTCTCCTTCAGCCTAAATAAAAAAAAAAACAGAAAATATTATATTGCACATCATTGACAACTCACATGGCAGGTGATACAGGTCCTAATTTCTGAATTAACCAACAAGGTCAATTTCACAAATCAGGAAAGCATTCAGATCACCAGTTCACACCTAGGTCTTTGATAGTCTCTGCAGTGACTTCAAACCACTTGGAACTATCCTGAAGAAGATAGTTGATATTTCCTAGAAAATTTCTCTAGTCATATATTCGTGGGTAGTTAGTTACCTATGTGTGCTCATTTTTATAGGCAGAAGAAATTGAGAAGTATCTATTGACAATCTCAGTTTGGGTCAGTCTGGGTTTGAGTCTTCAAATTTAGTTTTCCTGCAAGGTTCTAGGTGGTTTAAAAGAACAACAGCAGCACCTAGCTTTCAGCAGGTCATCTTAGTTCACCATTGTAGTATTTCCTGAGCAGAAGATGAGCAGTCTCCAGCTGCTTGGCTAAGTATGCCAGTAACTCTTATGTTTACACTTTCAGAGAATGCCACACTGGCTGCTCACTGGTGGGCACAGTGTCTTTGTCATGTTGGGGAAACTTGGATACCAGATCTATATACATCTCCATGCATTATTTCCCACTGGAAAAGAAATGCAATGGTGATTTTGCTACTTGGTTGGTAAAGACTAAATTGGGAATTTTAATTTTTGCTTATTAAAAGGGTAAGAAACTTTTAAAGAATCTCATATACAAGCAATATCTCTAAGACAAAAAGAATGTACCTGACTTGTAAAGCTGTTTGCATTTGTTCCCCAGACCAACAGCCTGCACATTTGAGGCAGTGCAGGATAGCTGGCCACTGAGCCACAGGGCTTAGGCCCAGTCAGACGTCCTGAAATATGAAAGAGAGAAGCCTGGCCCTCCAACCTCCCATGTTACAAGTTCTTTCAGCTCACACATTTGCACTGGTTCTCAGCATGTTTCATTCTGTGGCTGGGAGGGGAGAACCCTCATAAATAACATATACACATGTATACATCCATATCATATACACACAAATCCCACACTTAACACACTCATATAAACATATGTACACACATGCATACATACCTATGCCCATATACATGCCCTCAGAAATACAGCCTAACACACACAGGCAAATACACAAATAACCCCCCACATGTCCATGCATATATATGTACATATATATATATATATAGATATATATAGATATATATGCATGTACACCTTCACATACACACAGACCTTCCCAACATGTATGCACACACATATATCCCCTCATATATATACACACATAAACATACCCTCCCACACACATGCAATACACAAAAACACATTTATGCTCACATATATATGCACATACCCTATGGACACATGCATACATGTGTAGACATGCACACATACACCCCAACAGGACCTGGTCCTGGGCTGACTCCTGGTCACACAGGTAAACTTGGATTCCACTCTATTCTATTGCAATATTGCAACAATGTTTGGACCTGTGTACTTTTGTTTCATTCACATCCATGAATTTAGCTCAGCACAGTTAAGAAACACTTGAAAAGAACCATGTCTATCCCGAGCACATACAAACATTTTCCCCCTAAACAATACAGAAGCAATCTAGGGGTAAATGTAAGGATATGCACAGGTTCTGTGCAAATATTATACTACTTTCGATAAAGAACTTGAGAACACATAGACCTCTCTATCCATAAGGGATCTTGAAACTAGTCACTGTGGATACAAAAAGATCACTGCTTTCATATTTTTTCCCTGAAGCAGAAAGAACATCTCATGCTTTTTTTTTTTATTACAATGCTTTTATACATACAAGGTCAGTGTGTCTTAATATATCTAGGAAGAGATATAGCAATAAAAATGTAAACAACTAAAAATAAGCAAACAAGCTAAGCATCTCAGTAATAAATGCTACTCAGAGAAGTCATGTAGCATGAAATGATTGAGACTTGAGTGGGTAACTGATTCAGGAGGAATCTTTCCTAGGAGGTGAAATTTAAGCAAAGACCTGAGTGTCACAAAGTCATCAGCCATGTGGCAGTCCCAGGAGACAGCATTTCTGTCAGAGGAGCAAGATGATCAAAGACTCTAGGGAAGGCAATGTGTCTCATGCCGTAACGTCTCCCACTCCTTCAGAGGACAACTCCTAGATTTTTCATCTCTCATTCTCAGAGGATAGCCTTGCTTTCTATTTAACAGAGGGAAGATGAGAAAGGTGTAACTAGTCCATCAGATTACCTCTCCAGCCTGCCTGTGATTCACACCCTCAGGCTTCCTCTTGAACTAGGCAAGCTCTACGTGCTCCAGCAGCCTCGGGGCACCAGGATGAAGAAGAGCTTAGTCATTCTCCCTTCAGTCCTGTCTTACATGTTCTCCATTTCTCTCACATCACTCCATTCAAGAAAAAAATGCATTGATTTCTGATCTTAGAAAAACACCTCTCTACCAACAAGCATCCAGCCCCCTCCAAGTGAAATTCTCCAAAAAAAAATTGAGAATCTGTGGTGTATAGCTGGGGGACCAAGTTGGCAAACCTGAGGTAGGAATGGCAAGTAGAGTCCAAGTCAGTTCCTGTCTTTTTGTCTTTTGCCGAGAAGGCTGTTTGGAAGTTTTGTCTGGAAGTACTAAGCCAGCAGCTAGCTCAGTGGGTTGGACAGAAGTGGTCCAACTGGGATTCCCTGGCATACTGGTGGATTTTACATCAAGGCCTTAGTGGGTTCCCTTGGGGGGAACTCAGAGGTGGCTCACCTCTTGTGTGTTGCCCACCTGGGACCACTTGACCTTCCCACTCATGTCCCTAGAAACAGATCAAGCAGGGAAAGATGTAAGGAACTAGAACCTACAGACTTTTGCCTCTGGAACTGGAGAACAAATGGTTCTCATTCCAGGTCTCCTCACGCTTACGGCAGAATCACTATCAGAATCCATCCTGTGCAGCATCACCTTCCTGATGCCAGAGGAGCAACACATGGAAGGAAGTTTGCTTGAGCTCTTTGCTCACTTCCCTCGAAAAGGAAGCAAAGAAAGAACATATCAAGGGCCGCCTGGGTCACAGTTAACATGCTGCAAAGTTTCCTATCAAATGACTTATGATTCAATTACATAATGGCTACGGATGTAGATGAAATCAAATAGAAGTCTGGTCAAGGAGCCTTGGTGAGTCACACAAATGCATTTCCCTGACCTCTGCTAGGCACCCGGCACCTCTGTCATGTCTATGAACAGACCACTGTACTTGAGATGTTTGGAAGTTTTATACCACAGCCCTGGGGTCCCTTGTTAGAAATGCTTTTCAAACGCACTAAGGCGGGAGAGAGGACAGAGTGAGGTGGCTTTGAGACTCCCTACTATCCCAGTCAGTGGGAGGCAAAACCACCATTAGTCACCTCCATTGGCCTGGCTTCTGGGCCTGCAGGCTTTCCCCTTCAGTGACTCATCTGCTGAAGTGTAAACATGAGCTCTCCAAGAGCAAGGACTCACCCTATCATATTTACTAACAAGAACCCTTGCTTGCTGGAGTCTCAATCTGTCCGTGCTTAGACTACAACTTGGCCTTTGGAGCTAACAAGAAGTAGCTGGATAGAAAGATTTAACTCCCTTGGTCCTGTGAGCTATCTAAAATGAAGTAAGTCAAATATTTAGAAAGTCAAATATTATAGCTTGAAGACTTATTAGCCTTGTCAAAATCTAAAGCGCATTTTAAAGACTTTTAAGTCCTTTGCTTCATCTCTTTTAACAAGTTGCTGCTTTCAACAGGAAATCCTGTCATTTGTGACACTGTGATGAGCCTGGAGGATTTTATGCTAAGTGACATAAGCCAGGCTCAGAAAGACTAGCAACTGCATGATCTCAGATATATGCTGAATTTAAAATGTCAACCTCCTAACTAGAGAGTGGAATAGTGTTTCCCAGTGGCTAGGGGAAGCAGGTATGCAGAGAAAGAGGAGAGACTGGCCAAAGGCTATAATGTTTCACTTGGACAGGAGAAAGTGTTCTGGTTATAGATGGTACATTGTGGTTGCTACAGTATTTACTAATGTATTGTGTATTTCAATATAGCTAAAAGAGAGGATTAAATATTTTCAATCCAAAGAAATAAGTATCTCAGCTAATAGATGTGCTCAAAAAGCAGGATTTGATTAGATTATACTATGATTTATTCAATTATTTAGCAAATTGGATACTATAAATATCATAAATCCTATTGAAAAGTACAAATAAAATTTAAAAATGGGCTTATTATCTTGCTCATGTAACTGTAACCCCTCTGTACAGTACCTTTGCAATAAAAAAATATATATTTAAAATAAAAAAGTAAAAAAGAAGGAAGGAAGGAAGCAAGCAAAGGAAACAAAAGAAAGTATTATCCATGTATTGAAAAAAAATAATGGAATGCTGCAAAACATCTTTGATTTCAAACTTTAATCTCCTGCTTTTTAAAAAAAATTATTTTATTGTAAATATGCTGCACTGAGGGGTTACAGTTACATCAGTAAGGTAATGAGTCCATTCCTTGTGGAGCATTGTTACCCCCTCCTTTGTTTTTCTCCTACTATCCCTTCCCTCCCCGACCTTCTCCCCTCCTTTTCCCCACCTTCCCCTCCCCACCCTGAAGTTAGTAAAGTTCCTTTCCAACATACTGTCTTGTGAGCATCATTGTTACAATAAGTTATCCTGTAATCTGCTGCTTTAGGAGATGTCAGCCTCCTTATCAGCTCAGATTACAGGTATGAGCTCCACGTGCCCAGCAGGGTAGAACGTTTCTTTCACAAAGAGAGGTCTATGTGCTGTGGAATTAGCTTCATACAAAGCCCTCTACTCTCTGCACCCAGATAAGAACTCAACTACAAATCAGCGTCCACATCTCAGACCAAGTTGCACAAGCTGTCCTTTCTAATCAATTTTTGAAACAGAAGACATAGTTATTTTTGGTAGGACCCAAGCATTCATGTTTCCTTATCCCTAACACTACATAATCCCATCTGGGGT